CAGAGTCTAAAATGTATCCAACTTCAGAACGTTTAACAAGAAAACATGAAAAGAAAAAGGAAGAGCACTTCCTTAAGGCTCTTTTGGCTTTGGCATGAATCAGAAATTAACAGCAGAATTGGGTAAAATCAGATGTGGAAATGCCAAACTGAGGACTGAAACAAGAAGCACTCAGAGAGCACAAACCACCCCCAGCTCACTCTTGTTATTCCTAAGGGAATATCACTACATTTTCTAAAAATCCCTTTTCTTTCTTTGTGCTTTTTAAATGTAGTTTTGTAGTGGAGTAAAAACAAGTAGACTTTTGTTGTTTGCACATAAATAAATAAATCTAAACCTGCCATCATGTAATATCTTGCAGACTGCAGAAGACTAAAAGAAACCAGACCTGAAAATAGAGAGGTGGCTAACGGGAATGGACTGGCACAACAAAACAAGGATTCTGCACTTGGCTGAGATGTGTGTTAGTATGCACTGTGACTGGCTAATTTTATTATCTTGATGGCATTTTATGTGTTATTATTATAAGAGAAGCTTATTAGAGTAAAAGAATGATGTGCCTCTAATCGGGGCTATTGATGCTCCGAAGAAACAGATCAAAAATCAACTCGGGCCAGTTGAGTTTCAATTTATCGGCTTTTCCCAGAAGCTGCGTCTCTCATTCTGTAAATTGTGACAGACAAAAACCTCTCTAATAATGCCAACACAAAAAAATCCCTTAAGACTAAAATGGCTAAAAGTCCATTTTATTTACAAGAACATTTTGATTCTTTCTTTCCCCACACAGCTTGGTTTCCTGTCTGCGAATGGGCCCGGGGGGAACTCTCAGGCAACAAGGCATACGAAACAAGCCGTAATTCAAATGAAAGCAAAAGCTACCGTTTAATAACTGTGAATATGTTTGTTGTAGAAACTAAGAAATTGACACTGACAGCTATTTCATTGTGAAGTTTAAATGGGGGGAGCTGCTAGAGGGGTTGAAGACAAAAAAAATGTGAAAAGCAGGCACCACAGAGGATCTGAATGGCCAAATGTTTATGGTTGGGATTATTTCATTAGAAGGTCATCCAATCACAATACAATCAGAGAGGATTCATACCAGTCAAACATGTATTCATGCAGCATAACAATGAACTTAAACATGCATCCAGTCTTAAAGTAGTCTCGCGACGAGAACAAAAATGAGGTCTTGCAACATTCCAGTATTTTCCCAAGTTAGTAGTAAAAGAAGACTTTTTAGCAGATAAATACCCAACCACCACCACCACCACCACCAGCTAGTCCGTCTGCTATTTACTGCAGCACCAGACAGGCAGCTTCCCAGATGAATGTGCCTGATCCCATCTGCCGGTGGATCACTGACTTCCTGACGGACAGGAAGCAGCATGTGAGGCTGGGAAAGAATGTCTCGGACTCCCGGACCATCAGCACCGGCTCCCCTCAGGGCTGTGTTCTTTCTCCCCTGCTCTTCTCCCTGTATACTAACTGCTGCACCTCCACCCACCAGTCTGTCAAGCTAATCAAGTTTGCAGATGACACCACCGTTATTGGACTCATCTCGGACGGGGATGAGTCTGCCTACAGGAGGGAGGTTGAACGTCTGGTGTCCTGGTGCAGCCACAACAACCTGGTGCTGAATGCCCAGAAGACAGTGGAGATTATTGTGGACTTCAGGAAGCACACAGCCCCACTCCCCCCCATCATCCTGACTGACACCCCCATCACCTCTGTGGACTCATTCCGCTTCCTGGGTACCACCATCACCCAGGACCTGAAGTGGGAGCCCACCATCACCTCCGTCATTAAGAAAGCCCAGCAGAGGATGTACTTCCTGAGGCAGCTGAAGAAATTCAACCTGCCAACACGGATGATGATGCAATTCTACACTGCAATCATTGAGTCCATCCTCACCTCCTCCATCACCGTGTGGTACGCTGGAGCCACTATCAGGGACAAACAGAGACTGCAGCGTGTTGTGCGCTCTGCTGAGAAGGTGATTGGCTGCAGACTCCCATCTCTGCAGGACCTGTACACCTCCAGGACACTGGGGCGTGCAGCTCGGATCTCAGCTGACCCTTCTCACCCTGGATACAGTCTGTTTGACCTGCTCCCCTCAGGCAGGAGGCTCCGGTCCATTCGCACCAGAACCTCTCGCCATAAGAACAGTTTCTTCCCCTCTGCTGTTGGACACATGAACAATAACCGTATGACTGTTCCCACCACTAACACCCTACGCTGTGTTCACTGCATCATTCCATGTTTGGCACTGATCACCACCTGCACTCATGTATATATCATGTATATATCTATCTATCTACTTAGCACTTTTAATTCTTATTCTCATTTTTATTTTCATGTCTATTTAAGCTTAATTTATAACAGTATGTTTGCACTGAAGCACCGCAGCAATTTCCTAATGTTGTAAACCCGCTCAACATTTGGCAATAAAACCCTTTCTGATTCTGATTCTGATTCAGTGAGTTCAGTGTTACTTTAACTGATGGCGTGAGAATAGTGAGAGTGAACTAAGTTTTATTGTCAGAAAACAAAAACAAATCGATAAAGGAGGGAATGAAAAATACAGTGATGATGCTTTTAAATATGCAACTGTAGAAATGTCATCTATTGTTACCCTTGAGTGTGGCTGCTTTAAAGTAAGCTAAATGTGTCCCTTAGGGAAAACGTTTCTCTTTGGACATTGGCTGCTTTTTTGTGCTAATTGTCCATCTAGTCTTTGTGCCTGACCATTTTTTCCCCTTTGTTAAGTCGCTTTACACTTATGAATCGCTCAGTAGTAGCTCAAGGCACAAACCAGTGTTTTGTCCACTAATTTACAATTAGTTTGGAGTCGTAGCAAAGAACCCATTTTAAATTCAAAAAGTTTTAAGAAACTGGACAAGGAAGACGTGACAGTTCTAAAAAAAAAAAAACTACATACAACAGATGGTTAATATCTTAAATTTATGCCCTTAAGAAATAGGAAAGAAATCCACCAAGTCAACTGATCCATCTACTGTTCACCGAGGCCTCATTGGCAATGATCTCGGTGGAAGAGTAACTGTCAGGAAGCATTTTTTGGGAAAGAAAACAAGTAAGCCATCAGACAGTCATCTGGTAAACATAGTGAAGGCTATGTCAAGGTTTGGGGATTTTACGAGGATTGATGGAATTATAAACAGGAAAGTACCATCAGATTTTGATCCACCATACAATACCATCTTGGAAGCTTCTGATTGGAAACAACTTCATTTTTCAGCATCACAATGATCCCAAACACACTACCAATGCAATCAAAGCATACCTGGATAGAAGAACACACAGTGGAACACTATCAGTCATGGACTGGCCTCCCCAGAGCCCAGACCGCAACATTGTTGAAGCAGTGTGGGATCACGTTGACAGAGAACAGAACAAAGTAGCCAGTTTTCCTGTACTTCAAGCATCCAAGGAGCTGAAGACCAAGCTCCTGGCTTTTATTGTGATAGCAATGTCCCCCAAAACAATAGTAAACTTCCTTTATATTCAGTATTTGGCCCATACAGATTACATTACCCTACGTTTGCTTCTCTCCCACTCCCTTATGCTCACATGTACTATATTTTAATACACTTGAGTTCCCAATAAAAGTGCTCTCATTTCCATATTTTTCTGTTTCTGCTGTCAGATGAAATGACCATGAAGCAGTGACACAAACACAGCCATTAGGACTAATATAAGCCAGCTGTCACTTTGAAGCCCTTTTTCAACCCTTTTTGCTACTCTGCTCAGCTAAAATACTAATGTTATAACAGCGATGACGTCTGAGAAAGATATCACCATTCACTAAGTTTAGGCAAATGCCTCTGCTGTGATTTCAGCTATATTTATATGTAAAATGATCCTTCTACAAATGGTAGGGACAAAATGTCTTAAGCTTTCTGTTAGCAGCTGACGGCTCGTGGAGGGCAAAAGAGGCAGAAAAGAGGTGCTGCAGTAAAAGTTTTACATTTTTGAACATTAAAGTCTAATTGGGCTACTTTAACCTCCTAGGACCTGCCGTCTACATATGTGGACATCACATTTTGGGTTATTTAGACCAAACTACTCAATTTTGCTCTACATGGGCCTGATATCCACTTATGAGGACATTATACTGCTACTGTTCTTTCAAAATTTTAAATGAATATCCTCATATGTGGCTCTCATTTTTCCTAAAAACAAAAATAAGGTAAAAAAAAAAATCTGGTAATTCTTTGTTTTTACATTCATCGGGCCCCAATATGCCCAAATATCAAAGAGAAATTAAAAATGCATGTCGTGGAAGAGTTTGGGTCTTAGGAGGTTAAACTTTGATTAAAGATTTCTGAAGTTTTAATGAGAATGAAGATTTTAATGTAATCAGGGTTTTTGGGGAGTTGCTACTAGTTGTACTGTAGTTGAAAAATTACATTTTAGTTTTGTGCAGAAGAGAAAAAATCTATTTGTGTCCCCTCCTGAATTCCAAAGGCAGCAGGAAAAGAGGAATACTCGCAACTTTGCAGACACACACACACACCTTTCTCCACGTTGACAGTGAATCTAATGTCTGTGTCTAATGTCCTCTTGTCTGTGAGTCTAATGAAAGCAGAGTGAGTGGGCGAGCATTTCCACCACGCCTGGGTGCACGCGGTCAACCCTCCTGAGCAACATACATACACAAGCACATGCACAGAGACACACAAACGAGCACACACGATGGCACGAGGCTCGGGCAAGTGCCAAAACACAATACAAGATTACACACAAGGACAGTCTCTCCCTCTCCACCTTTCACTTTCTTCCTCTCACATGCAAATGCACTTTTTTTCCATCTGATTCACTCACACTGAGGGATCATTATCTTTGGCACATTGCAGACACTGAGCAGTGATGGGGCCGTTATCCAAGCAGCGACGAGCACACCCAGCATGTCAATCCTCATTAAAAGACTGCAACCCCCGACTCTCAGCGTGGGCTCGGTGATTGCATAGTCATTGACCTACCCTCCTTTGATGTAGTCCAGGAAGGTGACTTCAGTGTCCACCAGGAATGACAGGAGGGTTACCTGTAGGTGATAACACCTCAGTCAGCCCAAGCACTGTCGATGATGTAACAAAGTTATTCTGTCTGACACAATAAGAGTGCCATATTTCAAATCTAGTTCAGAAATCATTCCTTACTGTTCCAGAGTTGAGGTATTTTTTCTTCTTTCCTTTCTTCTTTGGATTTACCACCTAAAGAAAGAGCACATTTTCTCCATTAAATTCAAATATACTTTGTAAATCCATCCCTTAATTTGAGTGTCGTTTATAAGTTTAGAAATGGTAACGTGTTTTAAGTACTTTTGCTTTTTTAAAAAAAAACAACAACACAAAGTTGTCATATTGTCTAGTGCCAGACTGATATAGGATTTTTTAGATAGATAACGATATTTGGCGATTTAGGCGTCAGTTTTGGATGAGCAGGCGACTAAATGCCACATAGCTGAGAGGAGCCGGCCCTTTGCCGCATGTCTTTCCTTCCACTTTCCTGTCAATCTTCACTGTATCTGAGTAATAAAGCCACGTCCCATTTATATTCAACAGTGTTTTAGCAGATAAAGGTGAAAGGCTTAAACGTGAATTGAGCTGCGGTTCGGGGAAGGCCTCAAAGGGGACTGGCAGATCCCCATGTACTACATAGAAGTGAAGAAGTTAAAGAATTGAAAAGGGGAGAGAGGGAGGGTGGGGCACGTAAACGAGAATAAACAGCTTGTAGGACTGGGGGAACCTGTATAGATGAGAACCACATCTCAACACTTTTCAGCATAATTTATTACTGGTTGCTGGATCCTACACACGGCTGCAGTTTTTCAGCCGCCACACACAAACACCAATAACAACAACAGGAACCAATTCATCTGTTTTAAGCTGGCGAGGCAGCACACCGCGCCCCCCCGCCACAGATATCAATAGATCAGCAAACAGCTAATATCATCCCACTACTAAATCAGTCAAGCTTTAATGGTTACACCTTGTAAGCAAACAGTAGCAGATACAGAGCAATGTTAACATTACTTAAAAATAATGTTTCCAGCCCTCTGATAAAAGTAGGCAACTCCTGGTGGAATTATCCGGCTCTTCAGTTGCTAAATCTGGTAAGAGCTCCATTATACTCAGCAGCTATTTTTTAAATATTATTTTTAACTTCATCTGTGCACCATCTCCTCCTGTGAAAGTAACATGCAATGGACATTTAGAGCTTCTTCTCCAAAAATAATTTAGTGTCACAGCCAAAAATACTGTTAAACTATCTCAACAGAGTTTTGGGAAATAAAGGAGCTGATAATTCTCTTTTGGTGCATTCCTACAAAGCTTCCTCAAATATGACTGCTCATAAAAATACTCAATAGTCTACTGCATGTGACTTACACAAAGGTCAAGGGAGATGTCTTCACTTTATATGCAAACATAATAACATCCTTCAGTGTAATACCAATTAGATTCTGTAAAATTAAAGCATGCTTGGCCCTAAATGCTTCAGTTTGTGGGGATAATATGTGATAGCTGAGGTGGCTTTGCAGTATACTTCATATCCCCTTCATCGGTCCTCAGATACTTCCTTCCCTAAACCAGCAGCTACCATGCTAGGACCATTCAGAGACTTGTGTGATGAGGGGACCAGACACAACCTCCTTTTGAATGCCAAACAGTGGATATTAAATCTGAGCTTTATGGTCTAATTTAGCTGTGCCAAGGTTAAACAGGAAGACAGAAGGCCTCGGGGAAACAACATACAAATGTGTGGATTTATGCATTTCTCCTTGGTTCACTTTGGACTGGCACCCGCAAGGACGCATTTGGCTCTGGAGGTGAATTGAAATGTGATTGTGACACAAATACACACAGAGACACACAAACAAAATGCATTTAACACTGCAAAGTCTTTGTCTCGCTTGCTGCAAGTCGAGGATTAAGCAGTACCACGAAAAAGGCCAGAAATCCCAAAATGACTTGTGTGTGTGTGTGTGTGCGCGCACATCTGAGGACTATTAGGCAAACAGCAGCTGTTTAAAATGAGACTCCCCTGTGTGCGTTCTTCTCTGTGTGGTGCCCTGTTAATCAAGAAATGTTGACTCTTCCTGGGAGAAGACAAGCCAGCGATCCATCATAACTGTCAGAGATTGTGTGTCTGTGTGTGTGTCACAGACAGCCAGGCAGAATGGAAAGGAGTTTCGGCTTAGTTTTGGTTCACTCTGCCAGGAGAAATTATTATTTTATTATTATTATTTACACTTTTCAAATTTTTCAAGCAAGTAATTTCCCCAATTATTTCTCCACATAATATATGTGGCCATATGGTTCAGTACTTTTTATGTGTACCAAACAATCTCAATCCTCCTATTTTATTGCAAAGATATTTTTCGATATTTGCTGTTGAATTGCCTCTCAGTATTACTCAGGATGAAAGGCTGCAGTTGTAATAGAAACTTTTGTGTTTGGCAGCATCCAACAGTAAATTATGGTCAGAGGTTACCTTGTTTAGGTGTAGGCTATTAGCTTTATGACTACAGGATGAACTTTGATATGTGTTTAAAAAGAAAAGGCTTTTAACAGTGGGTTTATAAAGCACGTAAGTTAATGTAAACTGTAAAACTCACTAGAAGATTCAGCTCCTGGTCTACTCTCTTTCTGCTCTTTCTTGAATTTTACACTAGCTTTGTAACTGACTATATATCATAAATGTCAGTAACATTTGCAGTTCCTAATCCTTCATATTGTGTATGCAGTAAAATGAAGATTGCCCTTACAGTTAGACAAACAGAAATTCGATGCTTATTGTTTTGATCTGCTATTAGTTCTTAACGCCTCAAGTCAAAGTGCCTTGTTTTTACTTACTTACTTACTTACTTATAAAGGCATTTGCTCTATTATAATTGAACCAACCAACAAAACTTGCATTTTCATCTTTGGTGAGTGAAATTTTGCTTTTTTATTTGAATGTTTGCACTAATTAAACAGTATCTGTGCACCTTGCTAACCATGATAGCTAGCATTAGCTCATAAATTAGCACTTCACCCTCTCATCTCAATGTCATCATTTTTTGCAACAGCACAAATATAGTGATAGATATAATGCTGAACTTAAGGCTTCAAAATGGCGTGCGATATATACCATCTACTGCAAAGTTCATGCTATCAGCAACAACATCAACTGTATCTGTGAAAATCTGTAGCTTCAAATTACTGGCTTTATTAAAACTGGCTTAGAGTCAGTCCCTTCTTCATTTTTCCCTAACACTTACGATACATTTTGACTTCAGTGAAAGCCAAATTCAGAAAACATAATTGTACTCTTTCAGTGTATTGACTGAGGCTGCAGTTCCTCTGGAACTGATGGGGAGTGTGTACACCTACGACTGCTTTAGTCTAACCTTACAAAATTGTCACTTAAAAGTCTGGTAACTAGATCTGCTCAAAGGAAGATTCAGCTTGTTTTAACATTCAATATCCTGTGTTTGAGACAGCTGGCATTATTACTGTGAAATCATTCATGTTCACTAGACTAAAATTTTAGCAATGGCTAAGATTATATAAATGCTTAAGCTAACATAGTGTAACTAATGTTATATCTTGTAGAACCATTAGTAGGAAACTTGGTAGAACGTTAACACTTTCTGTTCTGTACAGTTGTTTCTCTTTTTTACTGTTTACATTATTTAAAGTTCAGTGTATTTTTTGCAGTACAAAATTGAGCATTGAGAATGCTGTAAATGTCCTTGGATTGGAACTAATTACATTTTTGGTATCATGACATCACACACAGGTTAAACTTCAGCAGAAAGGTTCCAGACAAAAAAAACCCCCAAAACACACTGTAAAACCTGTACACTGGTCTCCATAGGAGCTTCAGCTTTGAATTTAAATACACTAACATTCCTATACATGCAGGAAAAACTCACCTCATAGACGTTGAACTGGCTCTGTCCTCTGGATAGTTCTCTGTAGCTGGTGCTAAATTCTCCAATAAAGTCATGACTACAAACAGAAATGAAGAAGAAAGGAGACAAGAAAGAGAGCTTGAAAAAACTTCAATCTTGTCAATTAATTTTAATGTAATTTTTCTAGTTTCTAATCCAGAGATCATTAAAAAGCCAAAAAACCTAAAAAAAAAAAAAAAAAAAAAAAAAAAAAAAGGCAAAAGAAGTTGTCGTCTTGTGATTTAACAAGATTCCATTTTATGTTTGAAGTTTTTAAATCAACATGAAATGATAAGAATCCCAGAAAAAAAACAACATCATATACACCTCAGAGCAACAATTAGGAGGTTTGTTGTAACGGAGGATTAAAGCAGGATTAAAACACTTCATGGACAAAAATCACTGCCAGCACTTCTTCCCCACTGAAAAAGATACACCAACACACTATGGCTCAGATTAGGAGTGACACTGAATAGATTCCAAAGTACAAAGAATAGAGAAATAACTCCCTGTTAAACTACAGCTTGACAAATGTTGCTGCGTTTTCTTTCTGTCTGAATGCCAGCAGCCAGAATCCAGACTCGTCATTAAGCAGTCAATCGCTGACGATCGTGTACTCAGCTTTCTTACCTACTGAAAACATAGACTTCTGTTAATTATGTGTGACTTAGGGATTAACTGGGTGCAGGAAGCTGACATGTTGAATGTTAACGCAATCAAGACACGAAGTAATAAGGAGAGGCACTGCTGTCTGTTTATCAGTGATTGCTAGCACTGAGGTTATCAGCGCATATCAGATTAATATCTGTACAATAAGCCCTGAAAGCCTTACAGTCACACTCAGCAGTTCTGGAAAACTATCCTGAAAAATGTAAAAATGCAGAGCTTTAACAGTTATTACTTTGATCTTTTCTGTCTTGTTCCTGATCAACTGCTTGTGCAGAACACCTTATTAGATATTGATTTGTACCCCACCTTTACACCAATTAAGATAATCTGAGCCCAGTTAATCACCTTAGACGACCATATTAAAATGCTCAGCTTAACAGAAGAAATAAACAAGCTTGCAGCTTGAGAAGGAATCAAAAGCTATAGCTATTTTCTACAGTGGCCCTGAGAGGCCAAACGGACTGCAACTTAAGAAAACACCAGCAATAAGAAAAATGCTGCAAAAGCAAACAAAACACAACGGAAATAGGAAAAAGCACAGGGAAGTGTTTCTGGGGAGACAATAACCCGACGGACCAGTTGCAGGAACCAAAATATGGTAGTCGTGTTTTATCATGATTCATTTATTACTGATAACGGATTTTTAGGCTAATAGTTAAGCTAACACGCTTACCTTTCATCTTTTCTTTCCTCATAAAATCGATAGATCCTCCAATTCTTTTAAGTGTCTCCCGATGCAATTCTTAGCATATTTTGGTTCCTGCAACTGGTCCGTCGGGTTATTGTCTCCCCAGAAACACTTCCCTTGTGCTTTTGGAAATCTGTTGTTTCCTATTTCCGTTGTGTTTTGTGGGCTTTTGCAGCATTTTTCTTATTGCCAGTGTTTTAAGTTGCAGTCCGTTTGGCCTCTCAGGGCCACCATCATTTTCCCCTCTCATAACAACTTTATGGAGGTGGAAATGTGTTCATAACTCATCTTAACATTAGGAACATCCAACTTAGACTGTCTGCAGTCACTCTCAGATCGACTGGCAAATGTTTGCAAATAATTAAGAACAATAATTAACAGAAAGCAAAAGATAGCAGACTGACTCCAGCTTATTGCCATTTTATCGCATTTTATCACTTTGAAAATAGCAACTGGCTGCGAGTGGCTGCAGACCTGTTGCTATTTTCAAAGCAACGATTTCAAAGGAAAAAGGATTGACGTTCACTGCAAAATGTAACAATAAATGTGGTCATCTCGTGGTCTCCAACCACTGTTGTCTCTAGTATGATTGTTGCCATGGTACAGGGTCGTGTGACCCAGTGTTTGAGTTTTAGCGTATTTTGTTATTAATTTGTGTTCTAGTTTCAGTTTAGTTTATCTAATTTCTACGATGCCTACGTTGCTGTTCTAGTCGTTTGTTTGTGGATCGTTTTGTGTCTTCTCCCCTGTTTTAAGTCTCCCTGTTTTGTGTGTCTACCTGTCATGTTTCATGTCTCTGTGGTTCTTGTTGTCAAGTTCGTGGCATGTCTGCGTCTTGTCATGTTTCCTGTTTATTTTGAAAGTCTTGTTTCCATGTTCTATGTGCTTAGTTTATGTTCATTCTTGTCAGCTGTTTCCTCATGTGTCTCTACCTCCCTGATCTCCTCATTTGTGTATTTAAGTCCTCTTTCTTCCTGTGTTCAGTGTCACGTTGTCGGTGTAACCTTCCCAGTTATGTCTCGTCGTCGTCACAGTTTTCACGGTTCTCATAGTCACAGTCATAGACTTAGTCTTCAGTGTCATAGCTTAATCACTGTTTCATAGTCTTGTACAGTAATTAGTATCATAGGTTTTCATAGTGTGTTTTCCAGTTTAGTTGTCTTCCCTGCACTCGTCTTTGCTTTTGTTTTGCCTTCTGACATCAGCTATAAAAGGCTCGGTTTTTGTTTAAAGTTCGGTCCCATCTCCTCGCCCGTGTCTGCTCTTGGGTCCACCTCACTCACACTCCACACATGACAATTGTAGCATTACACAACTACATATCCCTGAAAAAAATTCAGTCCAACAGGCCTTGAAGTTTGTACCATTTGAAAATGTTCATGTAATATAAACAGCAAAAATACATGTCTGTAAATCTGATTTTAAAAGCAATAGCAGCAGCACAGAAATGCCAGCATTTATTATTTTAGCTGTAGAGTATTTACACCTTACGTGAGCTGAGTGAAGTGAGCTTCTGGAGCCTGTAATGTAAAAGCTTACACGACAGATGACTTGTTACTATAAGTATTTACCTGCCGTCTCTGTCCCAGTCGTACACCTCGATCTTGATTGTTCTGTTAGGGGAGGAGCAGATTAGAATCAGGTTAACAAAACAACTTTTTCTGCTGGTGTGCAGCTAAATTTTATACTCCTGGAGGCATTAAAATGCTTATTTGCACCATGCAACATATTTAAAAAGTAAGACACAATGTTGCAAAATGATGAAGTACACCGAGACCAGAAGAATGCCAATTTCTTTCTTCGATGTCATGGAGCTTTTAGTGGAAGCAGATCCATTCTGCAGCTTATCTTTATTCCAACACACTGTTTGCCTGTCACTGTACACCTCATCTCCAAATACATCTATTTTCTGCATCCTATTGTAGCTTATGAGGAAGCTGGTAGAAAAATAAATAAAAACAGAACAGTCTGCAGGAGGCAGATAATGCTGCGCTATCATGCCATCAACTAATATCTGCAATATGAGGGTTATTTCTGCCTGATAAAAGGGAGTGACACATGGAGGGTGTGTGTGTTTGTGTGTGGTGGGGCATAGAACAAACAGCAAATTAAAACAGAGGAAGCAAAAAACACTCTGCTGGAGAGAATGAGTACTCATATAATCCCAGTCGATTAAGGCTGTTGTTTTCACAGTGAAAAGCAGTTTGGGAGCACGCATGCTGTACCACTTTCTAAACTTGCAGTATCTAATTGGAAATCAAAGCCAAAGCTGCACTTTTTCCATCCTTTTTATCTCCCAGTATGAGAAAGAGTGGAAATGCAAACCATCATTAGAGCTGCTTAGTGAGACAGATGGACATTAAAGGAAAGAAAGCTGTAAAGATAAGGAGTGGGAATGGGCTGTCTGATAATGATGAGCACTCTGATGATGAGTGTGTTTCCTGGCTGGCGTAACGTTGTCTCCTGGAGAGGTACAAGTACGTGCTGATCTGTCTGGCATAAATGTATTTTCATGTGTTTATATAGGCGGGTGTCTTATTAAGTCGGTGTTGTGCCACAGCTCAGCAGGAAACATCCTGTCACGGTGAGCTTTGATGATGTGATGAGAAACTGACAGCAGTTTCACAGCCTCAATGTACATGTTTGTGTGTGTGTGTGTGCTTGAGTGAGAGTGAGCAAGTGATTGCAGGCCGACCACAGCATCTATGCACAGACAGACACAGTTCCCTATTGTTTGCCAGCCTGAGCTCCCCGTTATCTATTTTCCCAGACTGTAGAAACACACACTCGACTCCTGCGTGTCTGTGTTTCTGTGTGCGACTCCACTGAGCTTCCTGACTTTTCTATTGATAAGGCACGCTGTGTCTCACCTCATCCAGTAAGCTTACTGGACCAAACTTCAGATCGATGCTGCTGTCTGTTAGTTTAGCTATGTTAAACCCTGTTGTGTGCCCTTTTCCCACACAGCTGCTGTCGACGCAGGAGACGGGACTCACATGGCTGTCATAAGAGAGGCACACACTTTTATCTGCTTTAATCTGCTTTCTCACTTGGACTTCTGCTGAGATGTAAAGTAAAACAGATGTTGCACAACAAATAATTACACATAGCGATGTTTCTTTAAGATATTCGAGGATATTATGCAAAAATGTGTCAGCTTTGTATTTATGCCTAAATTGTAAAACTTCTAAAGGGGACCTATAATGTTCCTCCTTATATTCGGGCATATATTTACTACTAATATGGTGTAGATATTAGTGGGCAGCACGGTGACATGGTCGGGGTCTTTCTGTGTGGAGTTTGCATGTTCTCCCCGTGTTTGCGTGGGTTCTCCCCGGGTACTCTGGCTTCCTCCCACAGTCCAAAGACATGCAGTTAATGGGGGTAGGTTAATTGATCAATCTAAATTGCCCATAGTTGTGCATTTGGGAGTGAATGTGAGTGCGAATGGTTGTCTGTCTCTCCCTGCGACAGACTGGCGGCCCATCCAGGGTGTACCCCGCCTCTCGCCCTATGACAGTTGGGACAGGCTCCAGCGCCCCCTGTGACCCTGAAAAGGATAAGCGGAAGCGGATGGATGGATGGATATTAGTAGTTCAGGGTGCTGCAAATGCTCAGTTTCAGTTTTTCTCCTCTTGGCTGTGCATGAGTTTGGTGAGAAAGATTTCCCTAACATGCTCATCTTTGGCAAAGTTCACAATTTCTTAAAAGAAAGCTGAATGAAATGCTGGGTAGCCTTTTAAGAAGAGGACTTAAAACAGCTTGTTTAAAGATTCAGAGGCCTTGAGACCCACTAGTCCTCTAGAGAAAAATGTATCTCCAACTGGTGGGTGAGTAGTTGCTGGCTGTCACCAACAGGGTGATTGCTGTGATGATCCCAGTTGTTGCTTTAGTTGCTTACAAATTGCCACAGTCACCCAAGCTTTATATAGAAGACACCGTCAGCAAAGTGATAGTTACAAAATCTGAAGCAAAGCAGAAAATGAGACATTTTACCTTCAAAGCAAAAGCTTTGCTTTACTACTACAGTTTTAAAGCTTTCATTGCACTGATGATTCACCTGGTGACTCCAAATGCAATCAAAGTAATCCCCTGAAAGTTTTCGGTGCATCACTGTAAACCACTTTGTGACCAATTTCACACTAGCCGCTGACAGCAACCTCCAGCAATGCACACTTTTCCCTAAAATCAGTGTTTATCAGCAGATCACTGACATTTCTCTAAGCCTGCATCCTGTGGATTTAGCGGCTGCCAGCAATTATTCACCGACTGATCAGGAAATACACATTTTCCTCTAGTGACCACTGGTTGCCAGATACTTGCAAGCAGTTCTCTAGGCCTGTGTGACAGGAACAAGACATTACATTAGATGCTTAAAGCTGTCCCTTCCCTGCAGAGTTGCTTTGATTCAAACAGATTACATCAACATGAGCAATGTCATTGCTTGCCTGAAATTTTAACAAACAGCTAACCAAAATATGTAGATATCTTAAGGAGTGGACTCATACATTTTTGCCTCCGGTCGAATAAGTATTCTTGCCATTTGTTCAAATAAGCTCATCTTTAACCGGTTAGGCCCCCAGGGTTTTCTGAGCTTTCTGCTCGAAAATGAAATGCCCAAATTAAATGGAGTATTTCTCTGCAAGTACGAACTCCGTGTATACAATGTTGGTATCGAAATAAAGCTAATACCTGTGGAATTTTATCAGAGGTGTAAATATTACTGCAGATGTTACTATGTCAAAGGTACTGTGACTCAAACATAGAACAATTTTAATTTCCATCGCCTAATTTTTAAAAGTATTTTCTAGCATATAACACCTTTGAAAATATGCTTTGATGCACATTTAACTCCAACAAATCACGTAACTGTTTGGTGTCTTTGCTTTTTCTGGTGGTTGTAGAAATGGTTTATATGAGATTCAGATGTTTCTGTGGATGCTACACACGTCGAGACTTATATTTCTGACCTTGTGTTATAACTGATTAATTGCGATCTCGTCCCTTTTGCCCCCGGTACTGAGGTGCTTAACTAGTTAAACTGTTTCATCGCCAGTTTTTTTGCAAAGAAATCTAAAGAGAAAACAAACATCAGTTTCTAAATCAATGGAAAAAACAATAAGATCAGATATTTTGTAACATATAGTGTGTGTGAGTGTGTGTGGGGACTGAATTGTACAAACTAAATGCTGGGGGCAGACAATGAAGAAATGCTGCTCTCTGGATCTTTGCTTCACTTAATCCTGGTATGACAAAACCATTTCTAGCAGTCTGTTTCTTGTGCATTGACCCCACTAAACTAAATATAAACCCGACCACCAGAAAATAATATGTTCTTTCTTCCAAAGCGACTATGAAGCATATTTCTAAAAGCATTGTTTGGATGACACATCAGTCACAGGCTTCATTTAGAAGTCAAACCGCTACGCTGCTTTCAAATGTATAAACATGCACCGACTTTGATGAAGTAATCTTACTATAAAACATGACAGCCAAACACTTTTCCAGAGGAAAACTAAATCATGCATCTACACTCATCAACTTTTCCCTCCTGCTGAAACTGACAAATGTAATATTTAAGCTTGGCAGCTGCAAACAGTATCATGCATTATTCATTCGCACTGTACTCAATTTAACAAATGCTAATTTCCTTGCAAAATACAGTAAATATATTTTCACTGTCACATTTATTTACATCAATTTCAGGATTATTTCCAAAACATGGCTTACAGTAAGAGACCTCACAAATTAATCATAATGAAAACGCTCTATGATGGGCAGCTTCTGTGATTTAAAATGAACCCTAATAAAAAAGTGACACAATAATTGACGCTAATTAACCCCCTATAGATAATATTGTTCTAAAATAAGCAGATGGGAGAGAAAGTAAGGCACAGACACCCATGTAATGTTTTAGCGCTACGCAGCCTGAAGAGGCCATCAGACACTGAAATCATCAGAGGTGCATGTATTACTGAAAATGGCATTTTTGAGTGCCTTTCGTACTGAAAAGAACTCCCCTGGATGATTCAGATGGCCGTCTTGGTCGCTGCATTGTACTTAACCTGCCATAATAGCTGCTGTCTAAAAAAAGAGACATACCTGTCATAATCACCGTTGCAAAGAGCTCGAACAGGGATTTTAAAAGCCTGCCAAACAGGGTTCAGTGTATTCTTCACCACCTCTGTCTTATGGCAGATGGTAAACCTGCAGAGACAACAAGGAGGAGAGGCAGTGAGGAAAGTGCAACACTGTAAAGCCAAAACAGCTTAATGGTGTTTGTCCGAGTAGTATTTCTTGGCTTTGGTTTACTGCTGCTATCACTGCTAAACCAATAAGTTCTATTCCTTACTACATATATGACGGAAGTACCAAGATAAAGAAAATGGATAAAAAGAAGACTGATTTCCATTATTCTGCTAATTTATTTACACTGGTGTCATTTCAGCTCAGCGGGAGAGTCATTACAGGTTACCAGATAGTGCTGTCATTTACGGTCATGCTACTTTTTCCTTTTTTTGCTCTCGGGCTCACTTTGAGCTCACCTGCACACATCTCACATGTGAAGTGGAGCTGACAAGACGCAGGTGAAGTGAGGATAACATTAATCGAGTGGATGACCTGTTATGTTGAGAGCAACCGAGAGGCAGAAAAACGGAGAAGGAGGAGGTTTGCAGTTAGTTTGCAGAAACACTAAGAAAAGCTGCTGGCGTTGCAGCCACCGAGTCCCTCCACACTGTTCTTGGCTTCCTCCACGCTACGGTAGCTCTTCCTCTAGCAGCTGGGGCGCTGCTGCAAAAGTGTGGCGAGCACAGAACTGAGATGTATAGATCAGCCCCATTGTAACTGACTGTCCCAATTTACCTTGTCAGACGGGGCATCTCTATCTCCAAGATTTTGCACTAACTGGACGTCACATGTATTTCGTACATGTTAGTGAAATGTAGCACAGGGATGACTGTTGGAGTTTCCAAGTTTGTTGCTCAGAAACCCCAAAATAAAACAAAAAACAATACAATATAACATCATTTTATTCATTCTTATTGTGCTTTCGAGCATCTCTAGCGCCACCAGGGCAAGGCAGAGCACAGAAACAGCAGCAGGAGAAAGGAAAAGATGGATTTAGGAAATAAACATAAGCAGGAATAAAAACAAGAGTATTCAATTAAAGAGACATCCAGCTAACTTCCTGCCACTTTGAGTGGAAGAGTGTGCACGCTGCAGTACTTTCCTGATACTCAAACACACAGACATAGAGGGGAAAAAAGCTAATTTCATTAGTCCCTCAGCTAGAAAGTGGACTTGGTATCTCCCACCCTCAGAGCAGAAGGCTTTATCTGACTTGTAACACACTGCAGGATGGAGAGGAGTGTTCATGGGGCGCTCTGGATTGAAAACACAAACAAAACGGATGTGCGCGCACACACACACACACACACAAAATCCTTATCCTATTGCTTCCAGATACACTCACATACATCTGTGCGCACGTTGCTCATGTTAGCGTCTCCACATGTCACTCACATAAATGCTTAAACAGGCAGGATGGCTTTTGATCTGAGACAAATCAATGAAAGCAATTTCCTTTGGATGCAGGGAAGGATTAAACCAGACCCGGAAGGGGAGAGGGAGCAAAGGGGGCGCGAAGCAATGAAGAGACGGGAACTCACGTGCCGTCCTCGTTGCTCCTGTAGAAGACCAGGAAGGGGTCGGATTTGCCAAAGAAATCCTTTTTGTCCAACTTGTTTCCACAGAACTGCATCATCACTGATTCCTAATGAGGAGAGAGTGAAAGGAATATATTAAGTCAGGGTGGAAGGCTGAATATTCTGATTGCAGCATCGTTTATAATATGGGTTTCCTCTCAATATGACTATGATAGCACAAAGTAACTGTAAAGAAAAATAAAAAGATCTTACATGATGATAGACTGATCCAAAAACTGTATTACTTATCGTCTACAGTTGTGTTTTATTGAATCTGCTAACCTCGGTTCTCTATTTTGTGGGCTCGGGAACTGCATGAAACAGATATTCAAAGGGAGCTCGAGCCAGTTCAGCTTCTTGCCAACACTAAAAAGAGGTACGCCATTTTTCATGCAAAATTAAGACCGACATTCAAATAGCTGCTGTAACTGGGGAAGCATCATTACAAATTTTGGACCTGAAATCCATCCAATCGTGACTCATAAGGCTGAATCGAATAACCGTCATAATCCATTTAGCTTATTCTGCTAGCAGCAGAGCTAGCATACTATGAAGGAAACAAAGCGCACAGGGTCACACCTTTGAAGGAATGCTTCCTTTCACATTGTTGTGATGTCATAGTTTTGCAGCATGGAAAAAACCTGCTGATGTGGAATAAAAAAGGAGGGGAGGGGTTAATGTTACAGGGGTTTGGTTTTTGTGTGTCCATGGTGCTAAACCATGAGATCACAGCAAGGTGACTGGTCACCTGGTCGAACCTGGACCAACATTAATTATGATGACTCAGGAACAACACCGACACGGGGATATCAGACTGTGCCAGTATAAATTATTCAATCTCGGCAGATGGCAAAAGTCAAGCATTAGTATTATGTGGAAAAAGGAAAAAGTACGATTGGTAACTTTAATTTTCCATAGTGCCTTAAGCACTTGTACAAAGTGAAACATGCAGAGAAAACGGACACATGCAGCATTTAGCAAACAGAGGTAGAAGTCACTTTCTCACCCTGCAGTTGTTCAGCTCCTCAGCTTTCACAATAATGGTCCCGCATTTCTTCCCTGGAATGCCTCTGTTTATGATACAATACAGCAAAACATGAGATTACAGTCACCAACAGCGTATTTGTCATCACCACAGTATTTTGTCCACATGTATTCTTCCGCCTACACTTCAGGGTTAAATGACAAGTTGAAAAACACAGGAAGACGGCTCACGTTTCCTTACTCGAGCTGCCATCAGCTCAGGCGGTAGAGCAGGTCATCTACTGATCGGAAGGTTGGTGGTTCAATTCCTGGCTTCCCCTAGTCTATTAACCCCAAATTGCTCTCCGATGCATCCATCGGAGTATGAATGTGTGTGAATGTTACAGCACTTAGAACAATGTGCTTGTGCGAATGGGTGAATGGGCTTTGAGTGCTCAGAAGAGTAGAAAAGCGCTATATAAGAACCAGTCCATTACCATCAGAGCAGTCTATACAGTCGAAGAGCAGTCAGTGAACACATTTAGCTTGTTTGATAACAGTGGCACTGGTTTCTAGACATCCCGCATAAGGGTTCAGGCGGGACTGTGACCTTCTCACAGCAGGAAGGGGACTTCCATGTGTCTGAAACCACTCCCGTCCTGCACAGACACACGGTCAGTCGTATTTCTGTGTGTGAAAATGTGTCAGGTTTGTTTGCTTGCTCACTGTCAACCACAGGAGACAGACGGAAAGCTTCTTTTCTGAAAATGAACCCAGCCAGTGTTGAGATGTTTTTCTCTCATCGCAGTTGATTACACACTACGTATTGTTGCTACAAGTTTCCATGAAACACGCCTTATATTTTTATATTGTTACCAATATTTCCATCTATCTACCTACCTACCTACCTACCTACCTATCTGGGTCATGATGTAAGTAGTCGAACCCTTAGCGTGCCCTGGGTCTGCTTTGCAGCCTCCCAGCAAGACATGCTTGAAGACCCTCACCTGGGAGATCTCAGGAAGATATTCTACTGAATATTTTGATATTTTACTATTCTACTCAGATGCCAACTGACAATGATATGACAGGGTAACGTGTCATCATTGTAGTCTTTGCAGTTGCAATCACCCAGGACCAGTTTGCACTGGTTCACTATACAAGGGGCAAATTCCACTGACAACATGGGATCATTCAGACACATAAAGGCCCTAAAGCACAACAAAGTAGCAAATCATAGAAGCAAGTTAATAAATTTGATTAAGCAGACAAAGCTGTTTAATATCCGTGATTGTCACCTCTCAAATTCGCTGATATTCCTATGATGTATTCCAGAAAATCAGGAATTTTAGATTTACAAGCAGAGCTGGGAGGAAAAACATCACTCGCATGTTTTATTACCTCATTTCCAAGATATACTGTTAGCAAAAAGGTGTTTGTGTTTCTGTGCTGTTTGTGTGCAAGTCCACACATGAATCAGCTTCTGCTCCTGGGAAGGGCACAGAAGCTGTAGCAAAGACTGGAAGGTGAGAATAGGTGATGCACGTCGGTGTGGGTGTTTAACGTGTAAGCGCTTTCTCTGCATAAGGTTTTCAAGGTGAAGTCACCATTTACTGTACCTCCTCCTCCTAAACAAATATGCTCTTTAAACAGTCCCACTGCACACACACACACACACACACACGAGCACGACCAAAAACTTTCAGTGTTCTCGATTTTGGCACTGAAAAAGTTGAACTACACCTACATTTATTTAAATATACAACAAAATGTGGGCTGAAAAAAGGCGACACATGCAACATAAACAACATATTACCACCTAATCAAGCCAACGTAACCGATGCATTAGCAAACAGAGCACAACTCCCATTTATGTAGAGTTTTCTTTCTGATCCTGGCAAATGCAAGTCAATCATTTACTCTCCTCGAGCTCTGTGGACACCCACCCAGATCCTCATGGATTTGCGGTTACTTGCTCTGGACTGCTTATTATGTCAGGCAGCTTGTCGATAACTTTGAGTGTTAGCTGTTTGACGACCCTGGAAATGTAGTGTTAGATTATCAGCATTTGAAAGCTTTGCTGCACCTGGAAATGAGCGAGATGAGAGGAAAATTATGGTCTGTAAGATGCTAAAACTCTTTGAGGTTTGAGGGCTTCACGGAAAAACGAATAATAATATTATGGATAAATTCTTAATCATGAGGATTGCAGCAGAGAAATCTTCTGTTCTCCCTCGCTGATGTAGTAAAAGCACGTTCTGTGTGCATGTGAGAAAGCGCAGGATGACATAATTTGACACAGATTTTGAAAGAACCTACATTTCTGACAAAGAGGAATGTGATGAGCTCCACTACGAGACACTCACCTCGCTGGGAAAGACTCTCACAGTCATTAAGTCAGCTCAGAACTGGGGTCTAGGACTTCTGTGTGAATGTAATTCAAATAGTCCTTCTCTATTTCACTCTGGTCTCGTGCATAACGGGCCGAGAGTAATACGTTTTACAAATGGGTTTATCAGATCCTGCAACCTCAGAGCCTATGGAACGCCATATGGTTGTTTCAGAGACTATAAAGCGTAAAAAAGAAAAAGAAATGTAAAATTAATATGTAGGTTTTCTTCTTTTTATCCACATGGCACACAGAGGTGGGTCTACACAAGACTGAGAGGACTGTAACAACGAGGATAAGGCAGACAGAATGATAAAAATAAAGCCCTGATTCATCCAAATGCAACAAATTTAATAATGTTTGCCACTACAGTCTCTTTGGCTGCTTGGACACCGGCAGTGATTCTTAGGGGGAGTTTAAAAATGCTAAATTGTAGCCTAGCAGCCGTATGATGAAACACTAAACACAATCTAAATAGGCTTGTATGTAGTCCAAACACAAGAATTCCAATAAGGAAAAGCTGGGGAAAAACACATCTTTACAGATGACATTAGCATAGAGATGGAGTGATCAGGAAGGATTAGAGCAACAGGGGAAAAAAATCAATAAAGCAATACTGATTTAAAACAACAGCCTGCTTAAAATCCCAGTAAAGCCTTCAGCTCGCGAATTTTAAGTATGATTCACACGCTTTACTGTTTTGTTTCCGCATGAGCGATGATGCGGAACATGTACAAAGTAGTGTCTTTGGATTGTTCACATCCTCTTGTAAATGCCTGATATCTGAATGGCTGACTGCAATTATGGATGTCTGCTCAAGTACACGTGAACAAATAGCACCAATGATACCCAAAGAGGACTTGAGACACTCTGATTTCAGCAAATCAGAAGCCACGGAAAGACCCACAGTGTTCCCACTCACACACCTGAGAAGGTTTTCAATGACTTACAGCTTACTCGCACCTAACGAACAACACAGCCAACAAAACTGCATTTCCATATTTCCACTTGACTTTGCACCCCTTAATCTAATTTTCAGTGGTTTCAGAATAACATTTAACAGCTCTCAAGTTCCAGATATCCAAAGTAATTACTTCATTTACATAGACTTCCTGCTCTTTGTGCTACGGTTCGACAGTGGCAGCATGAAACAATAAAAGCAGAGCAGGGGGTTGTTGGCAAATTGGACATAAAAGAAGAGCTGAGCTAATTAAAAATGTTGAGCTGTGTGGGTCAACTACAAAAGAGAGCATCATCAACCTTCATCAGCACCTCTGTTAAATCATTTGCTGGCTTTAAATAATGATTCAGCTTCAGTACACAAGTCCCATTATTTTAGGCTATTTCATAATGACACATTAGTACTTTGCAAAGAGGAAAAGCAGGATTTGATATACAAATACTCACAGCATAGCTACAGATTTAACTTTAAAACATGCCTGTATCTATAAAGTGTTAAACTAGCACTACACAATAACTGTACACGAGTACATCTTACTACAATGATTATAGTAATGTAACTACTATATAAAATGCAAGTGTCCCTGATTATCAACATATATACATATAGCGCTCAAATCCTTGCAAATCATATATGTACATATATTATGTGTAGTCGCAGATTTTAAAACCAGTCGCGACATTACGTGTACGTTAGGTTTATGCATACGTTGTTGTAAATACGTTTTGCTCAACTACAGGGCTGCCAAAAGTAATAAAACACTCGGCCTGAGCAGTTATTTACATGATTATTTGATTTAATGTACGTAAGTGATCACTGGTGACCACTAGTGGTGTGAAAAAGTGTTTGCCCGCTTCCTGATTTCCTTTTTTTCCCGCGTGTTTGTAACACTTAAATGTTTCAGATCATCAAACAAATATTAGACAAGCAAACCACAAATGCAGTTTCTACATCATCAGGGCATTTATTATCAAGGGGGGAAAATGCAAACCTACAAAGGCCTGTGTGAAAAAGTGATTGCCCCCCTAAAAGTATATGATCGGCAGGCTAATCACTAAACAGGTGGTTGAATTTTTTCCCCACACCTGTAGCTTCTGAATGTAAAGATGCCTTAACAGCGGTTGAACAAACACAAGGTGATTCTTACATAGCGGTGAAAGTTTCATAATTTTTCCAGACGAGGAACAACATACAAACACTTCATCGCCTACAAGTTTCATGTTATTGGTTTTGGGATTCAGCGTAACTGAGCACACGCGAGGTGGAACGATGGTGTAACAGAAAAAGGAAAACACAACACAAAGTTGTAAAACTCTCGATCACTGTCCATACAGCCCATTTTACTTGTTGGTATCCTCTTACTCTCCACCGTGTCGTCTCACGGCAACAATACACATGAGACACTCATGTGTATTGATCGGTGTCGCTATGACAACTCTTCCGAGCTAGGTCCCCTCCGGCGGGACATCGAATTGGATTCCCATGCTCGTTATTTTCCTAAATGCCTGCTCTCGCTCCACTATTTTTCAGAAAGCTGCAATCATTATTCTGACAGAAATAAAATAATGCGCAGGTGGCAATCGAAAGGATTGCATAGTTACAATAGATGAATAACGTATCCCACAGTTGTGCCTTACATACAAACGCATACATGCACAGACACACGTGTGTGACAGATGTGATATAGAGTTGGAAGCTCAAACTCCTCCGGGACGATATGTACGAAAATGACAAATTAGCACAATATGGGTGAAACG